AGTATCTTCATTCCTGCCATATATTAGGAAGTACTACTAGCATATTGAAGAGTGTCTAGAGAAAGGCAACTAGGAGGATGTCTCAAGAGCATGCCATGTGAAGACTGGATGAAAGAAATGGTGATGTTTAAGTTGGAAAAGAAAAGACCTAGTAAAGACATGTTAGCTTTTTTTTTTAAATATTTGAAACACTGTTTTGTGTAAGGGGGATTAGAATTATTCTGTTTGGCCCCAGAGAGCAGAACCTGGAGCCATGATTGAAAGCAGGAGAGGCAAATTTAGGCTTGATCTTAAGAAAAACTTCATTACAATTTCAGTTATTCATATATGGAATGGGTTGCTTTTAGAACTAGTGGGTCATCATTTTCTGTGATTCTGGCTCTGCAAGTCCTATGTTCTTTCTATTACATCTAGTTGACCTCTTTAGTTTTATAAATTACATAGTCTATACTGATATGCAAAAGGAATAATAATAATAATAATAATAATAATAATACAGATGATAACTCACATTTCTTACATGATTTTAGAGTTTAGCTATTTTTTTTTAAAAAATCCTTTGAAAAGGCCAGCAATTCATAGAAGGCCCACAACTCTCTCAGGGTCACACCATTACTTTTAAAGTAACCTTTTAATCCGACTTGCTCAGTGCTAATGAGGATAGGATTGGAACTTGACCTTGTACCTCAGCATTAAGTTAATTCAAACCATATCTGATGATTTGACAGCTATATGTGATTAGTGCCATTTTGCAGCTAGTGTAATGCATAAGAATGGCAGATACTACAACTATGTGCACTTACATAAGTGGCTGTATTTCCGCAAATCGAGAACATTGAAGCCCCTAAAGAATAAAGAGAGCTTCCCCCTGGAGACATATGGAGCCTTGGTGACTTACAGTACTGCCCTGGATTGGCTCCCCAAGGAGAGGGATATAGACATTTGCTCCTTGGAGTTGGTGTGTTCCCCTGGGGTCCTTTCCTTTCTTGTCAGTGCTTTCTGTCTTCTTGAGTTTTACTCAGCTTTCAGCAATTGGTGGCTGATCTTGGTAAGCCTCTTCCTCCTTTAGTCCCTACTGTGTGCTCATTATCTCCTCCTTACTTGTGTCTAGTTAGTCATGCTATTTATAGATGTTTGTATTTATTTGGAGCTTTCAGGGACCATAGAAATATGTTGAATTCAGTCCTCTCATTTTTCATATGAGGTTTGAGTAGTTGAAGTGACTTGACTAATTTATGTAGGCGTATTTCCCATGACTGGCTTGTAAGCTCCTTGACAGCTGTGTATACCATAGTTGTATTTGTGCTCTCACAAGTATAAGCACATTTTTCTTTTAGATTGTGAAAGTGATGTATTTGTTTTAGGGCAGACCCAGAGAGGAAACACTATCTGCTAATGCAGATAGCAACCTGCTCTGCAATTTAGAGTCTTAACAAAATTGCCTGGGTCACTGAGAGATTATGTTACTTGCCCATGGTAACTTGCTCAGCTAGCATGTGTCAGAAGTAGGACTTGAACCCAGGTCTTCATAGAGACCAGCTCTATGACACTTTATGCATTTAACCTCTCTTGGCCTCAATTTCTTCATCTAAAAATGAGGATAATAATATAATAAAAACCCTACCTCATAGGGTTATTTTAAGGATCAATTGAGATAATACATGTAAAATGTTTCTCAAACCTTTAGGTGCTCTATACTTGTTAACTAAAATGTTAGCTATCATTTTTCCTTTCTGATGAATAATTATTCATTGAGTTGAATTGACATGATTCTGAGTCTGGGACATCTCTTTATTCCGTTTTTTCTTTAGTGGTAAAAGGAATTAGCTGTAACCATGGTTTTTCTGATCAAAGCATTTTTAAGAGTTTAAATTCTGGGAGTATTTATAAATTATCATTTTGGGGGGATAAGTCATCCTGGCAGGAGGCAGCTCTATTGCCTTCATCATCACTATATGCTTCTTTCTTAAATACTTTGGCTAGTATGGGAAATTTCTCTTTATTTTTTTTTTTTTGGCCCAATATCTTCGGTCGTCCTTCTACTGGAATTAGGTCCAAGTTATATGCCTGTGCAGTGATGGAGTAAGGACAATCTTTGACGACTCTGAGAATACCGCATTGTTTTTATGGCCAAACTTAACTGTAATGGTAAAACTGGTTCTCTAGTTTTATTTAGGCAAATTAAAGTTTTAGAGAGATGTGGTAAGAATATTAATTGCTTTACATTGATTTAAGCACTTTGCTACTAAAAATTTTACATACATTTTCATATTAGATCCTCAGTATAACCCTGTGAAGTAGATAGAACAAGAATTATTGTTTCCATTTTGCAGATAGAGTAACTGAGGCTCAAAGAGATCAAGTTAGTGGTTGAAGGTCACATGGCTAGTAAGTGGTGGAGCCAGGACTCAACCTGGAGATTGTTAACTCAAAGTCTAGTGCCGTGGGAATGCTGCCCCAGGCACTGCCTAACATTGTCCCTCCCACTGTTCCTTCACCTCAGTACTTTGTGGCATAAATATTCACATTAAATGTTTGGGTAATTGTATTTTAATATAATTGGTTTCCTTTGTAATACTATGTATTTTATTTAGTTCATTTTAAAACATTATTCTGAGAAGGTGTCTGTAGGCTTCACCAGACTGCCAAAGGTGCCCCACCACACAAAAAAGGTTTAAAACCTTTGGCTTAAATTGCTTTAAGCATGGATCCTGTCTGTGGCACACCTGACAAAAGATCATCCCCCTCTGCTTTGAAGTACTTCACTTTTTCTTAGATATTGTAATTAATTTGTTTTTTGTAGAGAGGCAAAATGGTATAGTTGAAAAAAGCAATGGCCTTTGAGTCTGAATATCTGGGTTCCATTCTAGATTCTGATGTTTACAAGCTTCATAATCCTTAAGCTTAAACTCTCTGAGCTTTAGTTTTCTCATCTGTAAAATAAATATCATAGATTTGTACTACTTACATCACAAGAATTTAAAAATAGGTCAAAATATTTTATTCTATTGTAACAAAGCGTTATTTTAAAATAACATACAGTGATTTTAGGACTGCCTCGAAAAGGAATCATTTAATCAGACACTCCTTTTCACAGCATACGGCTTTAATACCCATGATATTTGACATACTATGCCATAGAAGGTACTGTAAGGAACTTAGAAAAGAATGTTCCTATCCTCAAGGACCTAATGTTTTGGTGGAGGAGATATATCAAATGCTAATGAATGAATATGAACATAAGTTATAGAAACATACCTATAGCCATCTCAACTCTTTCAAATATTGAAATGGAAAGGATCGGAAGTGGTTAGTTACTCAGAGTTGTGTAGAGCTTATTAGTAATAGAAATCAAGAGGATTTACCCAGAAAAAGATTAATGAAGGTAGTATATTCTAGTAGACAGCAGGTCAACTTTGAGTCTAGTGGGCTTAGGCTCAAGTTCTGCCTTTGACATGTTAGTTGCCGTGACCCTGGGCAAGTTGCTTAACCTCTATTCCATAGGTAACTCTTCAAGACTATTAATTTTAAAGGAGTTGCCTATCGACATCTGTAGTATAGAAGTAATTTTCATACTGCAAAGAAATCACAGGTCCAGCCCACTAAACAAATCAATCAATCAGTCAGTCTGATGATGGTGAAAAACAGGAAGTATCCTTTGGATAGAATGCAAATGTCCTGTCTCACTTAGACAGGGTCAGCTGGACATGGAGTCTGACAGTCCTCTGTTATGGGGTAGGCTTCCACTTACCCCACAATCAGGCACAAACCTGCTTCAAGATGTCTCATATGGCTTTTCTGAGGCATGTGATTTGTAAACCTTATAACATTGTAAGAATGAATTGTGATCTAAAAAATTATTTTCTAAACTTCCTGTAGAGCAGAAGAGCAGGACTCCAATAACTTTTGCAGCTGGAGAACAGATGGTGATAGTAATGATGTTAAATGTTGCTATTTGCTCCATCCAAGCTCAGCAGACTTTGTCAGTTATTGTTTGTGTTTAATTAAGTGGTTACCCAAAAAATGCCAAAAGTTGAATGCTCTATACTTGTGTCAAGGGATAAAAAAGGCCCCACAAAGTTCTAGATGAAGCAGAAGAAGGCTGGTTACTGAACTTTGATCGTGATCTAGTGATTTCCTCCTGAACACTGACTTAGGCAACAACTGATTTTCCTTGTAGATCCCCTGAGGAGAGGGGGAGAAGATTAGAGAACATGGATGAAAAAGAATGCCAAGGCTGATTGTTATTTTGTTTTTTTTTTTCTCGTGAAATTACAGCCTAGTAATAGAAGTCCTGACTATAAATTTAAGCTGGAAGAACAAAAGAATGGGAGTCCAATAACCCCTGGAAACACCATGGTATAATAGAAAGGACATTGGACTGAGGATCCCAGACTTTGCCACTGTATGACTCTGCATGAATCCCTTCCCATCTCTGGGCCTCAATTCCTTCATTTACATAATACTATTATACTTGATATTATCAAAAGTACCTCTAAGCTTTAGCATTCTAAGTCCTGTCATTCTGACATTTAGAGATGCAGTGTGATGTGGTGGAGAGAACACTGGACTTGAAATCGGAGAACAGAGATTTGAATCCCAACGCTGCCACTCAGGACTTGTCTGAATGTGGACGAATCATGTAGGAGGGGGTAGGACTAGGTGACCCCTAAAATCCCTTCAGGCCTTAAATCTATAACCCTACATTCAGCTCTAACATTAGATGCTCAATGTTGTCTCCTTTTTTCTTTCTGAAGGAGCATCTCAGTCTTATTCACTTAGTGCTTTTGTTACAAGGAAGAATTCTTCTATTAATCCTTGGTGCTGAATTTTCAATAGAAATGAGTTTGTTTATACTGACTAAAAGATTGGATGTATCCAGGACAGACTATTCTGAATGTAAATACTAATGAATCTGAATTGAGCTAATAAAATCATGAATTACTTATTAATGTTGAAGGACTTTTGGAAAAATAATTCATCTTTCATTTTCTTATTAGTTTGTTTGTGCAGATGCTGGAACCAAACTAGCTGAGTCAACAATCCTGCACAAGCAGATGATCGCATCCATGCCTGGAGTAAGTCTGGACCCTAAATCAAGTACTTCATTTCACCTTGGGTCTAACTTCCATGCGGGTAGACATATTTTAGCCCAGAAGGATTTTTAGCTTGTTTTTGACTTTTCTTCTGTTTTCACAGAGGTTGTAAATACTGGAAATAGCCCTACTTCAATTTTTGAAAGAACACTAGTAAAATTTTAAATGGATGTAGCACACTGACATTTCCAAAAGAGATCATTCAGAATGTTGAAACCAATTCAGTTGTTATAGGAAATCATCTGTCATCCAACTTTGGAAATATCTAACAAGGGTTCCGTTAAAGTTGTCTTTTTAAAAAAAAAAACTCTTTTTTATAACTCCACTTAATCCATTCAATTAAAGAAAAATGCCAGAAAAATTCATATATGTAGCATTACCTTGACTAATTTTGTAACCCTCCATTTTAGAATTCAGTTTTTTCTATTATCAATAAATGTTACCAGAACAAGTATTTATTCTTGTAGTAGTAGTTTTTACTGTCTCTTATTAATGTCTAAACTTTCTGCAGAGCAGTAATCTATAATAGTGATTTCTACTGTAGGAAGAAGTACTTATTCCCTCGCCTGCTTAAAGACTTAGCTCAGATAAAACGTTCCTTTGTGAGACCTTTGCTGGTCCCCATATGGTACTTTCCCCCACCTCTCAATGTAATTAGGTTGTGTATATTTTATATTTATTTCTCTGTGTATATGCTATTTTACACAGATAAATGTCAAGTAGAATGAAAGCTTATGAGATCTGGTACTGTTTTCCTTTTTTTCTTTGTATATCTACTGCCTGGAGTAGTACTTAATAAATGCCTGTTGAATTGATTTGATTTGAAATGAATTCTTCTGATAGTAGGTATGTTACCTACGTTTGGCGACAATAGAGAAACTGACATTTTGACTAGTGGAAAATATTCTTCTCTAAAGTGGCACAGTGGTTAGAGTACTTGGCTTGGAATCAGGAAGACTCATTTTCATGCATTCTTATCTGGCCTTACTAGCCATGTGACCTTGGACAAGTCACTTAACGCTGTTTGCCTCAGTTTCTCATCTGTAAAATGAGCTGGAGAAGGAAATGCAAACCATTCCAATGTCTTTGCCAAGAAAATCCCAAATGGGGTCACAAAGAGTCAGATGTGACTAAAAAAAGACCTTATGAGATGCCTTTTCATGGTGTTGAGGTAACCCTGGGTCATAAGTTCTGACTGGTCCTACTAAAGGGGAAAGGCTTCACATAGAGTCTCAGTGACAGACTAGCTTATCTAAGTGCAAAGAGACTAATCACCAGAAGGTTAGCCATTAAGTGTTTTGTTTCGGGTTTTGTTTTTGTTTTGGCCGTAGAAGCTCATGAAGATAACACTTGAAGGTTTGCAAAGCATTTTAAATATAAATACATAATTTATGTCTATATCTGTCTGTCTGTCTATCTATTTATCTATCTGTGTCTTATCTGATTTGATGCTCACAACATCCCTGAGAGGTAGGTATTATTATTATCCCAATTTTATAGATGAGGCAACTGAGGAATAGAAGGGTTAAGTGACTTGCCTAGAGTAACACAGCTAATAAATGTCTAAAGACGAATTTGAACTTAAGTTTTCCTGACTCTAAGTCTGGCATTCTATCCATTATGTCACCTAGCTGCCTTAGAATAACAAACATTTATAGATCACTTTGTTGGTCTAGTGCAGGAGTGGGGAACCTGCAGCCTTGAGGCCACATGTGGCCCTCTAGGTCCTCAAGTGCAGCTCTTTGACTGAATCCAAACTTCATAGAATAAATCCCCTTAATAAAAAGATTTGTTCTGTAAAACTTGGACTCAGTCAAAAGGCCACATCTAAGGACCTAGAAGGCCACATGTGGCCTTGAGGCCACAGGTTTCCCACCCCTGGTCTAGTACCTTTCCCCTGATGCACTTTGAATTCTTTATAGATCTTAATTATTTGATTCTTACAAAATTAGTTTGAAGGAAGTTAGATATGAATCTTTTCAAGTTGCGGTTTGGGACTATAAATCAGAGAACCAGATTTTTAACATCATCTTTTTCTGGTGTAATCAGTCAGTTGATAAACCTGAAAAGATAAATGAGGCTGAATCCTTTATATTTTCCAAATCTATGGCCATGGGTATGCTTACAAAGCAAAAAGTGAAAGAGTGTTGGCAGTTTTCCGATTTGGTTTATAAAAGTAACCAACTGAGGCAGATAAATCAGACCCCAAATTGGATTTGGCAACTTGAATTCTCTAAATTAGACACCTGTGAGCCTGAAAGTAACTAAGTAGTGGTAAATTCTCAACCTCCCTTTTCTTTAGCTTTGAATGATATGGTAAATCCTGACTATATATCCTGCCATAATTTTTTTTTGTTATAGAAACCTGATCAGTGTGGCATAACATGTTACTGATGAAAGGAAACAATCACTTTCAGAAAGTCTAGAGAACAGATTTATACATTTGCATGGCATATGTAAAAGGTCTAAATGATGGCACAAACCGGGAAAAAATCCCTTCATCTTCTGCATTAGTGGCTCAATATTCAATAACCTTTTATAATTCTGTCATTCGGCTTAAAAAACAAAAAAGAAAACCATTGCTGCCAGAGAATGGTTGGAAGACACCTTGACAGGCAGGCATGCCAGTGACCTTATTTTACTGTTTGTTATCCTGCCATAGAAACTGACAGGCGTAACATTGGAGAAAAAGCTAGAAGATGATATTGTTCAGCAAAATTCAGATTTAAATGAATACAGGGAAATGAGAGTCAATTGGTGAGTGGATTAAGTATTTCAGGCTCCAGATTCCCCTAAGGAAATGTAGGTCTCCACAGGACTGTTAATTAAGCTTCAGAGGTGATCTACTTTTGAACTATATTATAGCCAATCTAACATAGAGACCTCAGCATACCTTTGATCAATTAGTCTATGTGAGCATTTTCCCTCTGTCCCTGACATGTCAAATTCATTGCATTTGCATGGAGAGGCAGTAGTTTTACATCTTTAAATAACTAAGTACAGTGGTATTCTTTATCACTTGCTGTCTCTTTTTTAAAAAGTTCTCCAAGTTACCTGCTAACATGAAAGAAAAAGAGTGGCAGCCATTTCTTTTCCCATCTTATTGTTATTTCACCCACTGCTTACCCTGAGAAAGAGGTTAACAGTAACATACATGTCTTTCTTTTATCAAAAGGAAAGGTCAATGTCTTGAGGTAAACATGGTGGCTTTTGAGAATAGATGAGCAATGTACAATGACTTCTTTGGAAAAATACCTTGAAAAGAAGCGGGTACAAAGGACTACTGATAAATCTCCATGGTGCTTTTCAGCCCTTGTGTAGGAGAGTCACAATAGTAAATAACTAGTCACTGTTTTATTGGGTGGTCCATACTGAGATGGCCAGGGAGTGTCTGATGTTATACCAACATTTGGAAAAATCCAACTGAATTGAAAGAGCCGTTTTTTAAAAAATAACAACCAGTTTTTCCACTAAAGTTCTCCTCTAATGCCTTATAGTGGAATTTTAAAGGCAATGCTTTTAAGCAAACCCTGATAGGTGCTACTAGGCTGCATCTGTCATCCAATGACTAGCCTTATGAAATCCCAAGATACTCATTACTGGAAGGTTGATCTTCAAATGAAACAACTCATGAAAACTTATGTTAAGTCAGGGAAGGGTTAAGGTCCATGTTGGTGGAGGAAGTTGGTGAAATAACTGCTTTTTGAAATATTGAAGTGTAGAATAGTGGAAAAAAACCCTGGATTTGAAGTTAGGATATGGGTTTGAATTGGACTGTGCCACATGTGATCTGTGTGACCTTGAGCTGCTTATTTCACTTCTCAGGGCATCTTTTTCCTTTTCTGTAAAATAAATGAATTAAATAATTTCATAGATTCCTTCCAGGTCCAAATTCTATAATCTAGAATCTTATAAGCAATAACCAGTTAGCAATGGCTTCCCTTAACACAGGCTTCTTGGAATTACTAGTTTTCTTTAAGACTCAGCTCCAGTGTCACTTACATGAAACTTTTCCTGACCCCCAACCCCCTCCCCAGCTGCTGGTGCTCCCCCAGTTTGCTCCTTCAATATCACCTTGTATCTGTTTTGCATATGGCTATATATGTACATTTTGTCTTCCCGATGGAATGTAAGTGACCTGGGAGGAGAGGCTGTTTCACTTTTATCTTTGTTTCTCCAGTACTTGGTACAGAGCAGGTACTTAATAAATTCTTGTTGCCCTTCACCCTGAGTACTGTCCAAATTGATTTTCTTTTCAAATTGATATGATTCAAACAAACTATTATTTTGAGTAGCACAGAGTAGGTCAGAAAGCTAGAAAGAGAACTCACTAAGCACCAATACAGAAAAAGAGAGAGGTCAACTATCCTCACAATAAAAAGAAGGGCAAAAGTTGGGCTCCAGAGTCAAACTAATCAATGGGTCTCCTTTTATTTTAGTGTGGAACAGCAGCTATGGAATGCATGAGACAATACGTAAATGAAGTACTGGACTTTATTGCTGACATGCATACATTAACCAAACTTAAGGTAGGGTCAAACACATGTGAGACTTATAGAGCTTTTGGGTTTTCTAAATTTAAGAGTAATATTTTTAAATGTTTTATATTGTATATGATTAGTTTGCTTGAAGATTTATGTTTACTTAGTGTCAGGGACTCATGATCTCTAATATCCATGTCCAAGAGAATAGGTAAGGACTTAGGAGGTGAAGTGATGGATGCTGCTTTCATGGACCTGATGATGGACCTGATGACAGGATTATCATTGCTTATTCTTTATAGTCTGTGCCTGGTCCAGTGACCACATAGAACTTTTCCTTGGGACATATGATACAAGAAAACACAAATATGGATGCACAGCTTTTGCTAACCAGGTATAAAGACTCACCAGAGCTACAATGTTCTGCCATGTAGAGATCTTATCTCATTATCTTGCTCTCTCTCCTTCCAAAGCATATAATTCAACTACTATGTTATAATGGTCCAACTTAACATCATTCTGGAGGCTGAAGTTCTTGTTTTTTTTTTTTTAATTTGCTATCTGTAGTCAGCTATAGAATGAGAAAGAAATCAATGTCCTTGTTAGGATGCTTGTCAACAGTTGCTGCCTTCTTGCCCCATAGTTTAACTGCCCTACTTTCCAGATTGTGATAACAGTTGAAGTTAATCTTCATTTATTTCTGTTCCTTCAACAAACATTTAACAAAAATCAATGTCTTATAGCTACATAGTATAGCGATATGTCCTAAACTGTATTCTGTGGAATCCAGAAACTCTGTGTGATATGAATAGGAGGTTCTATAAGAAAATATTGATGTTGGTGTTATTCTAAAATAACAAATAGTAAGTTATCTATGTCAAAAGCAAAATACACATTTTTTGTATGAAAACAAACTTAATTTCTTCTATTGTGTAGCAAAATTTCCTCAGCCCTATTTAATCTGTATATCCATACTTATAAGTTTTTTAGATCAACATTATTGGATTTGGTCAGTTGCAAACTCTAAAGTGCTCTATGACCAAATTAGTTTGGGAAATACAGATAACATAATATAGAATGAAATAACTGGAGGGGCTCTTAAGACACCATATATTCTAAGCCCCTTATTTTATAGAAAAGGAAACTGAGGCTCAGAGAGGAGCTCCTCTAAATAGAGGAGCTATGGCTTAAGCATAGTTTTTTATGCTCCAAATCCACTGTTCTTTCTACTATATCATGATGTCTATTCTCATTCATTGATTCATTTACTGAGAACCTACTGTTTAGCAAACATTTACTTACCACCCCAGGCCCTTGCTGGAGATACTACTATGAAAGATGACTAGCTTCTGCACCAAAGAGCTGACTTTCTGTTGGAAGATGTTACATGAAAAGACAGTGCATTGTAATAGAAAGAATATTGTATTTAGAGTCAGAAGATGTGGGTTTAAATGCTGCTTTCTATCTTTGTGATCTTAGGCAAGTCACTTTACCTCTGCAGGTCTTAATTTTTGATCTGTAAAATGAGAGGTTTGGAAAAGATGATCTCTAAAGTCCCTTTCCTATAAATCCTATATGAACCTGTGAAATAAGTATGGTATATTATAGAATGTAATGATTAAAAAAAGTAGACTTCTGGACAGAGTTCCTTAAGAAAAGGATCTGCTCCAGGAGAATGGTTTAAAATATCATTTGCACTTGGACAATACCCAAATGAAGGTGTTGATCTATTTTATTGTTCTTTGGAGTGGAATGGATTACTAATGTAAATCAGCCTCCTTGCCATCATCCTCCCACTAGGGAGCTAATAGATCTGAAAACACTGAGGAAAAGTCTAGACTTAATGCAGAAAAAATTCAAACACAAAAAATAGCCAGATTCAAAATCGGGCAGCAAACAATTTTTCTTTGACCACAAGAACCTAGTGATCCAAGAAGAGATGCATCAGAGAAAAAAAGAAAGAGGTTCTCCTGTTGTTAGACACAGCTTCTGAATTCTGCTTGGATGATCTAAGTTTTATTTCTATATACACAGCAACTTTGGTGCAAATGGTGGCATATAAATTTTTACCTGGAAGGAAAATAGATTTAACACATAGATTTAACTTTTCTCAAGACAAATAGGGACAGTAGTCCTTTTTTTGGTTGAACTTAACTAGTGAATGATTGAGGAGTGTTGCTTAGTGAGAGTGAAGGCACTTCTACTCTCTAGACATGTTTCTCTTCCTATAAATTGAAAGGCTTGTCAAGTCAAATCAATAAGCATTTATCAAGCCCTTACTATTAGTCAGGCACTGTGTTAAGCAGTAGGGATATAAATAGAGGCAAAAAAGATGGTCCCTGTCCTGAAGGAGCTCACAACCTAGTGGGGGAAACAACAAGCAAACCCATGTGCACAAACAAGTTACATACAGGATAAACAAAAAATAATTAACAGAGGGAAGGCACTAGAATTTTGAGGTTGGGAAAGCCTTCCTGAAGGTTGGATTTCAGTTGGGATTTGAAGGAAGCAGAGATGAGGAAGGAAAGGAGGACAGCCAGAAAAAACGCCCAGAGCTGTAAGATGGAGTGCCTTGTTCAGGAAACAAGGATGCCAATGTCGCTGAATTGAAGGATACGTATCAGGGAGTAAGGTATAAGAAGACTGGAAAGGTAGGAGGGGGCTAGGTTATGAGGGGTTTTGAATGCTCAATAGAGGACTTTATATTTGATCTTGGAGCCAGGAGGGAACTGCTAGAGTTTATTGAGTAGGAGGCTTGACATGCTCAGACCTGCATTTTAGTAAAATCACTCTAGTGGCTGAATGGAGGATGGATTGGAGAGGGGAGAGACTTGAGGCAGGCAGGCCCACCAGCAGGCTATTGCAGGCATGATGTTATAAGGGCTTGCACTAGAGTGGTGGCAGTGTCAGAGGAGAGCAGGGGTCTTATTTGAGAGATGCTGCAGAAGTGAAATTGACAGACTTTGGTAACAGGGATAATAAGAAGCTGAGGATAACTCCTAGGTTTCAAGCCTGAAGGGCTGATAGATGGTAGTAATAAAGAAGTTGGAAGGGGGAAAATGAGTTCGGTTTTGGATATGTTGAGTTTAAGATGTCTACCAGTTATCTAGTTTGAGATGTCTCAAAGGTAGTTGGAGGTCAGGCAGGATAGGTAGATTTGATAATCGTTAGTATAGTGATGGTAATTAAATCCATGGAAGCTGATGAAATGGCCAAATGAAGTAATATAGAGGGAGCATAGAAGAGGGCCCAGGACAGAAACCTGCAGGACACCTGTGGTTAGAGGGTGTGATCTAGATGAGGATTCAGTAAGGAAGACTGAGGAGTGGTCAAATAGGTAGGAAGAGAACCAGGCTAGAGTGGTGTTCTGAAAACCTAGAGAGAAAAGAGGATTGAGGAGAGGATGATCAAGAATGTCAAAGCAGAGAAGTTGAGGAGAGTGAAGATGGAGAAAAGGCCATTGGATTTGACAACTGAGAGATTGTTGGTAATTTTGGAGAGAACATTTTTGGTGGAATGATTATAAGGGATTGAGAAGAGAGTGAGAGGAGAGAAAGTGTACCACCTATTGTAGATGGCCTTTTCAAAGAGTTTAGCCACAAAGAGCAGAAAAAATACAAGATGATGTTGTGTATGAAAGGATCAGGTGTGATTCTTTCAGAATAGAGAGACATGGGCATGTTTGTAGGCAATAGAGAATGAATCAGTAGACAGGAAGAGATTATAAGTAAGTGATAGAGTGAGGATGACAGAGGGGGCAATCTATTGGAGTAGAGGAGATAGAATGGTATCAATTGAGCAGGTAGAGGGATTTGCCTTGGTAAGGAGTAAGGTCATCTCATCATGTGATACAGGAATGAAGGAAGAAATAGTGGTCAGAGGCATATGAGTGATACAAGATGAGGAAGAGAGGAGAAGGAACTCGTGGTGAATGGTCTCAGTTTTTTTTTTTTGTATAAATTTTGAGGCAGAGTTCTCAGCTGAAAGGGTTGGGGGAGGGAGACCCATGGGAGCTTTGAGAAGGGATGAAAAGGTTTGGAAGAGCAAAAAGTAATCTGAAAGGCAGTGGGTGTTACTGGTCTCTGGGTGTGGTGGAAATAGAGGTCTGGAGAATCAGGAGTGGGGCCCAGAGAGGGATTGAGTAGGTTGGCATGGGGGCCTGTCCTTAAAATAGAGGTTCTTCAAGGAAGTGACCAATCAGAGGAAGGGGATACAGGGACAAAGAGATCTTTCAGTGTGAAAAGGCTGTGGAGGAAGAGGGATGTTCCAGGATGAGAAGGCTACTAGAACACGGTGGTGAAAGAAATCCAGAGAGTAAGGATTAATAACATTCCCTTTAGTTTAATATAGTGTTCTCCATTTAAGGTTCCTTCCAGTTCTAATGTTCCATAATCTTACATTCTGTGTTCTAATACCTTTGCCAGCTTTAACATGCCATGTCCTAACTGCCTATACTCTTAACATTCTATTCTAAGATGCCTTTAAAAGCTAACATTTTGTGGTTCATGTGACCAAACTGAAAAATTTAAAAAAAAAAAGAAAAACAAAATAAAATCTTTTTTTATATTAATGTGAAAAGTTATCCCAATTTTGGTTTTATAGAGCCACATGAAGACGTGTTCTCAGCCTTTGCATGAAGATACCTTTGGTGGACATCTCAAAGTTGGGTTGGCTCAAATTGCAGCCATGGAAATCACGAGAGGCAACCACAGGGATAATAAAGCCGTTATTCGCTACCTCCCCTGGCTCTACCATCCTCCCTCTGCAATGCAACAAGGGTAAATTTTTTTTTCCAAACTTTTTTTTCTTCAGAAAGTGATGTAGAAAGAAATTCTAGGGAAAATTCTCTGGTACTTGCTGGAGTAACTAAATGTGCTTAGAGTTTGTAGAAATGTTCTGTGATTGGTATGAAGTATAGAAACAAAGGTTTGTAAAGAAGCAGTGTGTCTCTGAACCTATTGGCTTTGTGATTCAGCAGCATTACTGCTCTCAGAACATGAAGTGCTTCATGACATTGCTGTGAGAGAAAAAAATTGCAAATGCTTTTATTCTATTTTATTCTATGAAATTAGACCTCAAAGGACTAATGATTCTTCTGGAAAAGCTTTCAAATACTTAGCATATCTAGTGGCCAAATGCAGTGAATAATCTTTCCCTTTCTCATTGCAATCCTGTACCTGTATAATTAGGTATATTCTTTCTCTATTTCACATGTAACTAAATCCAGTTCATGTTGGTTAATTTGAAAATCGCAGATAATGGATAGAACTTCACTTTATTCTTTGATCTAATATACTGATTAAACACTTGTTATGTGTTTTTGTACTGTGGGAGGCACAGAACCTGGTTTTTATCCAAAGGGCTAACCATCTAACTGTGCAGACAGAACTAATATAAAACAATTGGAGAACAGTTCTAGGCTAAACTATATAGAACAGGAAGTAGAACAGGCAAAGGGCTCACTTTCATGGAGGAGATGGGTAGGCCGTGAAGGATGGAATAAGTCAGGGGGGAGGTCATTTAAGATGTGAGTAGAGGTGAAGGGAACAGGAATAAGTATGCTATTTTCAGGGAGCATTTTTGGAAATTGTGTCTGGGAATAAGAGGAGGTAAGAATGAAGACTTTCCTTAATTTTTGAAAGAGTTATCATGCTAGTGAGCAGCAAAGTAATTGAATTCGAATTGCCCCTCTCTTACAGTGGAGGAGTGAAAGGTGGCCTACCCCAACCTTTGGTCTGTTCATCTACAGAGTAGAGAGGATTTTGTTCTCACAGTTTATGATAAGAGGAGTTATTGAATTTGGAAAGCCCAAAGATCCAAGTGCCAAACTTGGTCCCACTGCCATATCCCCTAGGTGACTTCTCCTTTGTCATGGATCATAATTCACCATGCCTGAAGGGAGGGAGAAGAGTCCCTAGATACCTTGGCAGCTACTACTCCCAGATCTGTGTGACCTGGAGTAAGTTACACCTCTCAGAGTTTCATTTCTCTCATCTGCGGAGTCTCTTAGGTTCCTTTCAGCTCTAATGGACTTTGACTCGAAAGACTAAGCCAGCACAATTTATTGAGCATTCCTTGTATGTAGAATAGTGTAGTAGCTAATCTAGACCTGAAAAATTGAAGGTAACTACTTGCTCATGAAATTGATATTTGGGATTAGTAAAGAGAACTATAATAGTACATATATAAATCATTTTGTCAGTTTATATTTCTTCCCCTCCTTTTTTTGTGTAACTGATTATAAGACCATTCAAATTCATTCACTCATTCAACACATATTTATTCTGCATCTAGAGAATGGAATCCTTGCATATATTACACATTTCCTTCTTCTCTTGCAGACCTAAAGAATTTATTGAGTGTGTTTCTCATATCCGCCTGCTGTCCTGGCTACTTCTGGGTTCACTCACACATAACTCTGTGTGTCTAAATCCCTCATCTCCCTGTATGCCAATTCCTCTGGATGCAGGGTCCCACATAGCAGATCATCTTATCGTTATCCTGATTGGATTTCCTGAGCAATCAAAAGTAAGCAATTTCCACAGGGTTGAAACCATATGCATCAAAATTGCTAATGGAAACTCTTATCAGCCAATTATGTTTCTTCTGGGAAAGAAAATAAATGCATCTTATCATTTCCCTTCCTCTGTATTCTGAAAACAACTGATGCCTTATTTCAAGCTGTTTAAATTTCCAGATTCCTTTTTCCCCATAAGTTTTTATTCAGTTTACATTTCTCAAAATGTCTTCATCTATGGAGGCAGGCAAGAGTTGGCTTCCTAGGCATGCCAATGTCTATATTACAAAAAGGAATAATTATCTAGAATATAATAATAATCCTATGGTAGTGTTAAGTAATAAAGAAGAAAGCTATGTTTGCTTCAACCCTCCATGGGCTATTTTATCAATCTGAATCTCCAGAGGCACATAAAATTTGTCCTGGTTGTTGTTCCTCAAACTCCACATTTGGTCTCCCACCTTTGTGCCGTTGCACAGGCTTATCTCCTGGATGTGGTCAATCAGCAAGCCTTTAAAGGTACCTTCAGTGCTTCTCATCACTCTATCCACTCTTCAGATCCCTACTTTACTGCAAGGCTCAGCTCATGTGCCAACTCCTACAGGAAGCTTTCCCGATGCCCCCAATTAATGCTCTCCACAAATTATCAGACATATATTTAACTGTTTATAGGCAATATGGCATGGTGGATAGAATTCTGGGATTGGAGTCAGGAATATTTGGGTTCAAATCTTGCCTCTGATACATACTATGTATACAAGGAAAAGTCACTTAACCTCCCTGGGTTTCAGTTTCCTCCTCTCTAAAATGGGGATAGTAATAGCACATACCCATAGGGTTTTTATGAGGATTAAATGTCATCACGTTTGTAAAATGCTTTACAAACCTTGAGAGGCAGAATGACATAGTGGAAAGAATGATGGATTAGGAACAAGAAGATCTGACTTCATATCCTGCCTTTGGTATTTACTGTCTATGTGACCTTAGTAAGTATATAATCCTGTGTTAATATGTCATTTCCTCCCAATAGAATGTAAACTCTTTGAAGATAGGGACTATTTTGTGTGTGTGTGTGTGTGTGTGTGTGTGTTGTGTGTGTTTCTTATCTTCAGCATGCAAAACAGTGCCTTGAACATATTAGTTACAGAACTACTTGTTGGATTGGATAATAATCATCATCTGTAATTTCATTGATTATAAATGCTTACTTCATTAACATAAACTGTATAAACTTTAGTTTCTAGTTTGATATAATTAAGAAAATTATTATCTAGTGGTCAACCTCTTAGGATGAACTTATGAACTGTCCTTGGGACTGACTTCAAGTCTTTTCAGATTGAGAAGATCTGATAAAGCCTGCATGCCATTGCCATGGCCTCCAAGAATGTTTCTATGCTGCCTGAAGGCATCAGAGGAGGATACTAGGAATAATAGCTCACATTCAAATAGCACTTGATGGTTTGCAAAGATAAAAAAGGAAAATTAGACTCTGTTGGGAACTCACTAAGGCTGCATTGAAATCACTGTCAAAAATAAAATGTGTAATAATAATTGGTTACATTTCTATGGTATTTTATAATTTCCAAAGTGCTTTTGCATTCATGAACTTGTTTGGTCCTATGGGGCAATCAGGGAAAATGTCACTGGCTTCATTTTGTATTTGAGGGAATTAAGGCTTACACAGGTGAAGTGACTTGCCCAAGGTCACATAGGCAAGAAATGATGGAAATAGAGCATCAGCATGTTTTTATTTTTATTTTTCCTGATTTCAAATCCAGTACTTTCCCCATGCCATCTGCAGTAAAAGAGAGCCAAAAGGTTGTATCTATCATTAATAGTCACTCATTTATTCAATCAGCAAGCATTAAGTACCTGCCAGGTGCCAGAGAAAATACAAAGAAAATGATGTTGTAGGTTCTACCTTCATAGAGTTTACTGTCCATGATTGCCAAGCTGTTAGAAATTAAATGAGCCAAGCAACTGCCCTCCTTAGAAACTGAGCAAAGGCATAGGGGCCAGGTTGGGGGAGGGTATGGCAGGGGAAGGTCTCTAGGCTAGGATAAATTGGCCTTGAGAAGAGTTATGAAGACTCTGAGTCAGTGGCTAAAGATCCCACCAATACATCAGGTAAGGTTTTAGAAGATTGCTAAAAATCATCATAATATAGTGGCATAACTGCTGAATTTGGAACCAGACTTTTCCCTTGTTTAATAAGTGCTTCTGAGCAATCCACCTAACTCCTCAGTGCTTCGGTTTTCTCATTTCTAAAATGGGGATAATAATTCTTATACTGTCTATCTTGAGAAAAACACTATGTGAAACTTGAGGTGCTTTAGAAGTATGCTGATATTATTCCTGTCTTTCCCAAAACTAAATTATTCCAGTGATGGAAATTTCAGCTCTTTCAAGGAGAGGGAAAGGATTTAATCTGCCAATTAAAGGGGCTGAGGTAGCATGCTTTATCTCTGAAGAGCTGCTTTGTTCTTTGAGCACACACTCCCACTGACTTAGTGAAGATCAGACAAGGATGAATCATAAGTTCATAGGAATGGAATAACATTTTTATCCTCTGATGGCTTCTATCAGATAATGTTGCCTATAGCTTCTCCACATTGTACAAGCCACTTGTTGTGGTTCCCTTGCGATGCAACATGATAGCTGGGCATAACATCTTCCTCTCCTTCATTCTCCTTTGCAGACATCTGTGTTGCACATGTGTTCCCTCTTCCATGCATTTATCTTCGCTCAACTATGGACGGTCTACTGTGAACAAACTGCTGTTGCTCCCTCTGTCCAAAATCAGAATGAATTTAGCTTTACAGCCATTCTTACTGCACTGGAATTCTGGAGTCGGGTGACACCTAGCATTCTACAGCTAATGGCACATAACAAAGTGGTGAGTTCAGTACCTGTTCATAAAAATATCCCTCCCTAAGGTTTGATTGCATTGTGATCAAAATGAATAGAAACTCATATTTACGTAGCACTTTACACCCACTGGGAGATCTTAATCTCACAACAGTGCTGGATGACTATTGTTATTCCTGTTTAACAAAGGAGGAAACAAACTCAGAGATGTCAACTGGCCTACCCAGTGTAATGCTACCACTATTAAATGGTAGAGTCAGGGCCTGAATGCAGATCTTCTGACTCCAGTCCAGTGTTATTTCTGCTATGCTACACTGTCAAATTTGCCAAATTAACCCCAGAACTCCATGAGGGGATATTTTTATTTACTTCTAATCCACCTGAACCAAAAGTAAGGAAAGAAGCTCAATGGTTTCTTGTTTCCCAGATGTTACTCTTCTAACACAGTCATTCCTATATCACACTACCAGCTAACTTGATTTTAATATGATGTGATTTGAGTGCCCTCTGATTCCTTCATTTCAAGCCATAGACATATTAAAAATATTTTTTTCAATTAACAAAAATAAATTTCTTCTCTCTCCTATCCCCCCCCCCAACATTGGGACAAAACAAGGAAAAACTAAATCATTGTAATGAATCTGCATTGTCAAGCAAAACAAATTCCCACATTGGCCATGTCCAAAAATATATATTCCTCCTTCTGTACCCTGAGTCTATCACTTCTCTGTCAGGAGGTGGATTACATGCTTTATCATGAAATTATGGTTGGTTGTTGCATTGATCAGAATTTTTAAAAGGCCACACATGTTTTCACATACATTTCCTCTCTTCCTTTGAGTTGTTTTTATGAGCTACCTACTCAGGAAGAAGTTGAGAGATGTCTAGGAGGTTTGTTTAATAATATTTACTCTCCTCAGAATGAGGAACATAGTGCTAAGACCAGATCCCTGGGGCACTCCAATTGAGACTCCTTCCAAGTTGACTTCAGCCCATTAATGACCACTTTCTGGGTCTGGTCATTTAATGTAGGAGTCATCTTCTTCACTGTCTGTCACCTGCCCATACCCAATCTGTTGTCAAGGCCTGTAAATTTCATCTTTGCAACATCTCTTAAATAAGCCCCCTTTTCTTTCTGACACTGCCACCATTCTGGTGCAGGCCCTCATCACCTCATGCCTGTATTACTGCAATAGCCTACTGGTGGGTCTACTTGCCTTGTCTCCTCTTACTCTAAGCCATCCTCCATTCAACCTCTAAAGTGATTTTCCTAAAATGTAGGTCTTATCATGTCATCCCCTCTATTCAATAAACTCCAGTGGCTTTTTACTGCCTCCAGGAGCAAATATAAAATGCACTTTTTGGCATTCAAAGTCCTTCACAACTTGGCCCTCTCTTACCTTTCCAATCTTTTTACACCTTACTTCCTGACACCTACTCTTCTATTTCAGTGACAACAGCCTCTTGGCTGTTCCATGAACTCCATCTCTTAGCTCTGGGCATTTTCTCTGGCTGTCCTCCCATGCTTAGAATGCTCTCCCTCCTCCTCTCCAACTACTAACCTCTCAGGCTTCCTTTAAGTCCCAACTAAAATCCCACCTTGTATAGGAAGTCTTTCCCAATCCCTCTTAATTCCAATACCTTCCCTATGTTAATTTTTTCCTATTTATCCTGCATATAGCTTGCTTTGTATATATTTGTTTGCATGTTGTCTCTTCCATTAGATTATAAACTCATTAGATTATAAACTCTTATCCCTCTTTTTGTATTCCTAGTGCTTAGCACAGTGCCTGGCTCATAGTAAGCACTTAATAAATGTTTATCAAGTAATTGATTGATTGGTTAACCATGTCTACCACAATTTGTTTAGCCATTCCTAAATCAATGGTCATCCAGTTGTAACTTGAAGTGGAGTTTTCATTATAGTGAGAGAGAATTCATTACCTCCCAGGATAGTCCATTGCACTTTTGGATAACTCTGAGTGGTAGAAAATTTTTTCCTTGCATTAAACCTATATCTACTGCTGTAAATTCTACCCATTATTTTATATTCTGCCCCCTGGCAGCCCTTTATAATAATCCTTAAAATATTTGAAAACAGCTATCATGTCCCGTATGTCTTTCCTTCTTTAGGCTGAACCTTTCCAGTTTCTTAGACCAATCCTTGCATAATATGATCTCGAGGCTCTTAGGAATTCTGTTCATACTCCTCTGTACTTATTACCCCTCTAGCTTGTTAATATCTTTTCTAATTGGGTCACCCAGAATTGAACATAATATTCCAGATGTGTTCTGTGCAGTGTAAAGTACAATGGAACCATTACCACCTTCCATCTAGACAGTATGCTCTTTTAAAGGAACCTGAGATTACATTAATTTGAAGGGGGTTTCGGATGCTACATTGCACTGTTGACATACTGAGATTATGGTCTTCTAAATTCCCTTGATCTTTTTTTTTTCAAAAGAACAATTGCTTAACTAAACCTTTCTCATTTGAAATTATGAAGCCAATTTTTCTTAGCCCAAATATAGGAATCTGCATTTATTTTTATAAAGTATTCCTTGTTTGATTTGGCCCCATCATTCTTGCCTCTTGAGAGCTTTTTGGATCCTAGATGTCATCTAACATATTTGCTGTCTCTCTCAACTTTGTGTCATTGGTAAATCTGATAAGCATGCCATCTATACCTTTCTCTAAGTCTTTATAAAAATGATAATTAGCATAGTGCCCAGACCAGATCCCTGACGCACTCCAGTAGAGACCTCCTTCTGAATTGACTTTAACCCATTTAATGACAATGTTTTGAATCTTTTAATTTAACTGATTTGCAGTCCCTCTAACTGTGCTATCATCTAGTTTACATCTCTCCAATATGTACATAAAAGTGGCTTGAGACAGTTCGTCAGATGCTTTGCTGAGAACTCTTGAATATTCTCATAATTAACTGGTCTAGTAAGCCTATCAAAAAAAAAAAAAGGAATGAAGTTACTCTGATATGACCTGTCTTTTTTTTGCATGTTATTTTTTACTGATTTCCCTTATTTTTATATCACCTTCTGAATATATCCTCCCTACCTCAGCCACTGAATCATTCCTTGTAAAAAAAATTTTAAAGGAAAATGAAAAAAATTTGGTTTAGGAAAACCAATCAGCAGTTGTGTGTGACAGTATGTACAATATTCCATATGCAAAGTTCCCACTTCTGCAAAGAAGAAATGTTGCTTCTTTTTTATGATTTGTCTCTATGGCCTGGCTGGGTATAATTACATACAATTCAGTTTCGTTGTGTTTTTTCTCATTTATATTATTGTAATCATTGTATATATTGTCTTGGCTCTGCTTATGTCATTCTGCACAAGTTCAAAAACATTTTTCATACTTCTCTTAATTTTTCATAGTCATTTCTTAGAGTGCAATTATTCCAATAATTTCATGTACCACAATTTGCTTAGCCATTCTCCATCCACCTCCTCCAGGTCTTTGCTGTCACTGAAAGTGATAACTATTTTGGTGTCTATTGAATATTTGGTATGACTTGTTATTGATGAAGCCTTGCAGAGTTGCTGGGATCACTACTTTTCTAGATGTTTGCTCTCTATTTAGTCATATAGTCCAGAATTTGCCAGGAATTGAAATTAAGTTCCCCAGCCTGTAGTTTGCAGACTCCACCTTTTCTCTGTACTACTTCTGATGATAGTTGTAATAGTTTATATAGCATACTTCAGATTATGAAGTCCTTGTCTTGGACATTTACCAACTGTGTGACTCTGGGCAAGTCACTTAACCCTGTTTGCCTTAATTTCTTCATCTGTAAAATGAGCTAGAGAAGGGAATGGCAAGCCACTTTAGTATTTCTGCCAAGAAAACTCCAAATGGGGTCATGAAGAATCAGCCACAACTGAAAAATGACTGAAGTGTATCGTGTAGTTGATTTTATTTTTTTCATCTAAATACTGAACTTTAAGTTCATCCCTATTAAAGCTACCATGACATAGTAGATAGAATACTGGATTTGAAGTCAGTAACAAAAGCAACAACAAGGAACATTTATTAATACTGTGTACCAGGAACTGTGCTAAGCACTGGGGATAAAAAGACAAAAGAGAAACATTCTCTTTCCTCAAAGAGCTTATGTTCTAAAGGAAGATGTGGGTTCATGTCGTACCTCTGACTTTGATTCACTTTTTGACTATTGGGGAAATCATTTGGCAGTCATCAAACTGATATTCCTATAATGTGGGAATTTTTTTCTTTTGCTTGACTGCATAATTTTTATGAGGGTTTTGTTTTGTTTGGAAAGAGGAGAGAAGAGAAACGCTTGTTAATTGAAAAATAAAATTTTTAAAAATTATATTTCTAAAGCACAGTTCTATTACTCAAGAACTTTCTGGGATTCCCTATTGCCTCTCGACCCTCGTAGAAAGTCTTCTGCTTTCACAATGTCTCCAACCTACTTTTCAAGACTGATTTCATATTGATCAACACACAAACTGCATTTTAGCCAAACTACTCTTGCTTGTCCGTAATATTCCATTTTCTATCTCTGTGCCTTTGCATAGGGCTACCTCACCCCCATGCATGGAATGTGGTCCCTCCTTACCTCAACTTCTCTGAATCCCTTTCTTCCATCAAGATTCAACTCAAATGCTACCTCTTACAGGGTCTTTGATATTACTGCAGTTATTGCATTCTGTCTGAAATTTCTTAATATATACTTTGTATGTATTTTGAATTACTTCTGTACATGTTGTTTCATCCTAATAGAATGGAAGCTCTTGAAGGGCAAGGACTGTTTGTTCTCTTTTTGTCTTTGTATTCCTAATACTTAGTAAAGTGTTTTGCATATATTAAGTAATGCTTGTTTAATGGTAGAATGAATTTAACCTCAATGATCATCAAATATGTCTCAAAGAGCATGAATTATAGACAGGTTGCTTTAGTGAAAGAGTTCTGAGGAAGTCTCAGGTCCTAGACTTGTGCTGTAAATTTGAACTTGTTAGATTCTTTCCAGCTTGTTAAAATCTTTTTAGATCCTGAAGCCAACCTACACCATTGTAGCTATTATCACAGATGTTAGTGTCATTTCAAACAAACATCTACAGAAATCTTTGTGCTTATACTTATAATTCATTACTGAGGTCTAAATCACTAACAGTATAATATAAATACAGGACAGAGATTTTTGTTTTGTGTCACTGGTTGATTTTACAATGCCTCTTTCCCCTTAAAGAGATGCTGTATGGCATATGTTCCCTTAAAATTAAAGTGAATTAAAATTATTTTAATTCTGAGACTTTAGGGTAAACTTTTTGACAATATTTGAGACAAGTGTAGACAAGGATGTCACAAACCCAATTCTGGGAAGCACTAATTTAGGGAAACTATTTTAAGTATAGTCAGACATGACATTTGGCATAGTATCCTTCATCCTGATGAGAGTGAAGATTTTAAGGCAACAAAAGTCCCCTGAAAATTTCTCAACTTCTTCCTAAGTGACGGATAAGAGTTGTTCAAGATGGAAGAAGAGAAATGTTTATGAAGAGGTGTATGGCTTGAAGTGAAGGAAAATAAGGGCTTCCAGAAAAAATTGACCGTCAGCTAGTGTTTAGTGGTACTGTATAGGGACAGCTGTATTAGAAGAAGAAAATTTAGCAAGCAAGAAAGTGTTCTAGCTTCTTCTTTCATTTTCTGTTCTGAAGTTTTAGAGGCAAATAAAAATACCCCCTAGTGGTTCGCCCTGGTCATTTAGGCAAACAGCATGAGCAGATGTCAGGTGGCTCTTGGCGGGCACACAGTGGTTTTTAATATTCTTATAACACTGGAAGAAGCATTTGTTTCTCCTTTTTGTTGTTTCAGATGGTAGAAATGGTGTGTCTCCATGTGATCAGTTTGATGGAAGCACTGCAAGAATGCAATTCAACCATTTTTGTCAAGGTATGAAAGCCATAATGATTCTTAGGGAGAACTTTCCCCAGCTTTCAGGGCCTATTGCTCATCATAGCTGTACCTTTTGAGTGAGACACTTAAAAAAAAAAACAGCTTCAGCAGCCACAGCTAGAGGATATATACTTGTATTAAAAACCTTAAAACATGTGAGAAAACGTGTAAGAAAAATTACCTATACTGGGTATTTCAAACAAATATAACTTGAAAGTTACTCATTAAATATATATTTGTGGAAGGAAATTATTCTGACAATGGTGCCATAATGGAATAAATTGGGTAGTATGTTTTTACCCTTCCCAAAGTCATTTGACTCATTTTCACTCTCTGGGTGATCCTTTAAGGTTAGTGTAATTTAACTGTAAACTTTGTTCAGGAAACTGCCTTAGAGATTACATAAACTGTTTAATAGTTATTGTTTACCCAAGAACATTCCCCATATAATTAGTGGTATGGAAAAGTCAAGGAATTGAAGAGAACTTATTGATAACTGAACTTAAGAAAGGCTATACCAATCCATTTGTACCCCTGATAGCTTCACTATTTTCCATTCTTTTGACTCTGTTCTTTAGGAAAAGAGCAAGAGCCAAGTTTCCTAGTGGTATGCTAAGGACTTAGATGGAACTGGAATAGGGCTAGACCCATGATTTAATTCATATGGGGAATTCCCCAGGTGAGGAAACTCCCTCTGCCAATGTAGGTCAGCACCTTCTTGCAAATTACAGCCTTAGACAATTACCTAGAGTACTGATAATGACTTGCGCAGTATTTGTTAGATTTGAACTCAATTTTTCTGGTTTTCTATCCACTGTTTCACATTGCCTCCCTAGACCTTGAAAAAACCCATGTGTGGGGGAGTGCACTTAGGTTAACATCAGAATATTATATGGTATTGGTCCTAATGATCATTAAGAATATGGCCAAAATGCTGGATAATTGTCTTTTATACCTTACTAGTGGGAGTGACCATCTAGTGAAATGTGTTCTTTGAATAAAAACAAGTCTTCAGGTGACAAAAAGAGTTGGAGGAGAACAATGCAGTATCATCATCAAATGATCATATCATAAATTTAAAGTTAGAAAAAGTACCTTACAGGTCAGATATGCTTATTTACTATACATGAGAAAACTGACACCCAGAGAAGTTAAGTGACTTGGTCAAGGTCAAACAGTCACACAGGTGTGGAAAAACCAGGAATAGAATCCTTTGATTCTAAGAATATTGCTTTTGTTTTGGCTAAAGTGACCTCCTTTTTTCAAGTTTTCCAGGGAAGGAAAAAAAGCCCACCACCCAACTTACTCTATTATATCATTACTGAGCCCAAAGTAAATTATGTCTAATTCTTACTGACAGCTTTGTATGAGCCACTAGCAAAAAGGAACCAAAATGAAAGTTATTCAATAAACCAAATTAGAATTCCCTAAATAGGATGATTACTGGATTATATGAGGCTGTCGATAATAATGAAGTTTAACCTGAAGCCTTCAGTCATGTAATTGGTAAGCTATAAACCTGAATGTCATTTGAAAGTACATTTGAGAATCATGTAGTCACATGTAGTAAACTAGTTGGGAAGAGTAAGAGCTATTTCCCCCACTAAAATCTATCCCTAAAACAACATTAGTCTGTCACATACAACTAAGTCACTGATTCAGAAAAGCAACATTTAATGATGGGACCTGAGAGATTCCATAGCTCCTAGTGTTTGTGGCTGATATCAGTCTTCCTGTGTTCTGAGCAAAGACTTTTGCCAAAGAGACTTTATGCACTAGTGTTTGCTACCTCTTTAAGAGGCTAACTGGGGGAGGAAGGGGAGAAAAATTTTAAACTCAAAAGCATATGGAAGTGATTGTTGATAAATCAAAATCAATAAAAAATTTTTAAAAAGAGGCTGATATCTTGGCTCAGATGTCAACCACTGTTCTGTTTCCCCCAAAATGCAAAGACTTTCCTGTGAGGAAAGGAAACACCTGAGAAAAGACTCTCAGATATGCACTAATAAGCAAAGTCTGGAGTCAGACATCCCAGGCAATCTCTTAAGTATAGGGTTGTGTGTGTCATGGATCCCACTGGCAATCTGGTGAAGCCTATGGACTCCTCAGAATAATGTCTTTAAATTGAATGCTAAATTTGAGATAGAGATCAGTAAAAATAAAGGTGTAATTTTTTTTTCCCATACAAGTTCATGGATGACCTAAAATTTATCCCCTGGTCCCTTAGACAGTCCGTGGACCCCAGGAGAAGAACCCCTACCATAGTAATGTTAACTGCTTCAGGTTGCGTTCCTTGCTTATTCCCATAACTCATAGATAAAAAAGACCCATGTGAGTTTCCCAAAGACCCACACTTTTCTGGAATATCCTTAAATAAAGATTGATTTCTTGTGGATTAGATCCTATAGAATCAAAACCCACAGGGAGCCATACAAATTTACAGAAAGGATAAGGAAGGACCTCAACCTAAGTCCTTGACCTGATTCCAACTTGCTGTCTCTGAACAGCATCCTGATGATGAATTAATATGTTCTCCTAGTCTAACAATCACTGACTATATGGTTACCTGCAATGACTACTTATAAACTCTAATTATAGCCATTTAACTCCAGACTGCACACTGTTGGTCAGAATTTCCTTTTCTCCTGAATATTTGTTTCCTGTGTTGACACCTTTTACAATGGTGTGTGTGTGTGTGTGTGTGTAACAGGGGGAATAACCCAGCCACCACATGAACCTATTTACCTGAATTATTGACATCATATTAGGACAGTTAATTCCTGGAACTGCAGTAGGAAGTAGGTACCAATAGTTTATCTTTTGCGTCTCTTTGATCTTTCATAAAATGACAGAATCTCAGAGCTTAAAGGACTTCAGAGGTCATCTAGACACCCCGGGGTAGCTTATTCTGTGATTAAAAATGTTTAGGCAAGGATTAGGATCAGATAATTTATGGCACAGACTTCTAAGGCACTGACCCTTAATGTCCTACTAGGATTATAAGTCTAATAATAGGAATAAGCCACAGGGATCATTTTCAGATGATGGAACTTCACCTACTGATACTTCTTTCCTAAAGACTATAATTATGCTATGTCCAAGGTGTTGGCCAAGACCACCATTTTTATTTAGAAATTAATAAATTGGACATGTTATTAACAAGGTGTTAAAACATGTATACTTGCCAATTAGCCTTAGGAACAAAAGAATAAACAGAAATAAAAATGATCACTTTCTTAGACTCAGTAAATATAGTTTTGATGTGTTAACAGTCTCCAAAGAGGACAGTAACTTGGAGTAAGGTAAACAAACTATTGTTTCAGAATTAAAGGGTCAGTATTTATACTTCTGTCTTCAAGCTTTTCCAGACTTTAGTTAGGATTTCTCTTCAGAATGTGCTGAAACTGTGCCTAAGACTCAGAAAATCACAATTATAACTTGTCTTCTGTTAGCTCAGATGGGCTATCCCATATTCCACTACATTGTTGAATTAAACTTTCCTATTGCCCTGAGGGAGTAGAGGCCTTTGAAAAGAAAAGAAAGTGATGATACTACATCAGGAATGGGAGACACTGTTCCTACTCTGTAAAGTATATCCTGCCCAGAGAGCAGTCTGTGGGAGAAATCATATATAGGAATAGGTAAGTGAATCAGCTCAAGTTTTATAGATCCCATGGGTTCTAAAACCTCATTTTAGGCCTGGCCCCTAGCTTGTACCAGTCATTTATGTGAATACACAGACTGTACAAAGTCCTTATCTCTGGTTCTATTTTACCTTCTATACCATATAGAGGTAGAAGATAGAAGTCTGTCTTTTTCTGACAGTGTGGAATTCTAGCTGCTGTCTATGAACCTTTTCTTAACAACCAAGAGCTAATACAAGCATGGCTATACCTGAGAATCATTTCTGAAGATTCTAGGGAGGAAGATTCTATTTAAGGAAGTGAAGGTATTTTTAAAATATACACTAACTTTCCACTCATTGAGTGGCTTTCAAGAGATAATCAGTCATTTGCTCTAAAGTGTATATTCCAAGCAATCATGGGGTGCTTATTAACCTCCAAATGCCACCAGCTCAGCAGGGCCTGGACTCAAAAAGACATTTTTCTGATTATAGGCAATGCCTCAGCATGTGCCCTCATCCTTGCAAAGTTAGAAGGATTAACGATGCCCTGCTTTCCCTCACTGTAATTACATCTGATGTGGCCAAATAGTACAATAATAGCAAACATCTTTGTTTCTCCCTCACAGCTCATACCTATGTGGCTGCCAATGATTCAATCAAATTTGAAGGTAAGTTATCCCATGGGCTATTTTAGGGCAAGTTTTTAGTTTGAACCTGGGTCCATCCTGAAAATGTCATGAAGTTCACAGGCAATAATACTATTAATACTAATCTCACTTCAAGAATTGTCATGCTTATACATGGTAATTGCAAATGCCTTTTAGCTCCACTGTCATCACCACTGTCATCCTTCCAAGTACTGGACCATAGAATTTAGAACTGGAAAGTACCTTACAGATCTTGTCCAATTCTCTCATGTTATAGGGAAGAAGATTAAGGCCCAGAGTTGTATGGCTTGTCCAGGCTTACACTAGAGCAGGGATTCAGACCCAGGATACTGATTCCAAACCTTTGTCTACTATAAATTTTTTTTCAAAGCACTATTTGTGTCTGTTAACATAATACTTCAAGTGCCTGTGACTTTGTCAACTTAGGAACATGCCTCCCTCTAAATGCAGATCACAGTCCGTCTGAGGAGGGGGCAGAGAGGTTAAGCAACTTGCTCATCTTCTGGTAGTTCAGTGTCAGAGGTGGCCTTGAACCAAGATCATCCTCCTTCTAGGTCTAACACTCTATCCACCATAGCATGCTGCTTCTCCATTATAACAATTATAATTATTCAATTATAGAATTATAATTATAATTACAATATCCATTATAATTATAATTCGATTTATAAATTATTTACAAAAAAACCCAACCCTCACAACTACCCCATGAGGTTGGTATTATTATCCTCATTTTATAGATTGGAAAACTGAGACCCAGAAAGGTTAAATGATTCGACCAAAATCACAGAACCACTAAGCAGCTGCCAGGATTCAAAGCCAGTCTTGACTACAAGTTGAGTGTTCTTTCTGCTAAGCTACACTGCCTGGATTGTTATGTCATTTTATCCTTTGAACATATCCCTGCAAAATATACAGGGATTTTATAGATCCCATTTTACAGATGTGCTGACCCAGAAAAGTTATGACCTACTCAAAGTAACATATTAAATGTGGCAGATCCAGAACTAGAATCTTTATCTTGACTTCTGGCCCTGTGTTCTATCTGCATGGCCACATGGAATCATTATCAGAAAGCAGTACCATGGAAGGAGTGCTATATTTGGCATCAGAGGACCTGGGTTTGAATCCCAACTCTGCCAATTACTACTTATGTGACTTTAGGGTAAGTCACTCTATTTTGCTGGACCTCATTTCCCTCAGCTGTAAAAAGGGGTGGGGGGGAGGATTAGGTGACTTCTAAGGCCCCTTCCAACTCTAAACTCTTTCTATAGCATTTATCAAATACCTTCCTAATTGTGTAGAGACTGTTCTCCCTACAAGGAGCTTAAAAGCTAGGAAAGACAATTCTGACAGAGACACATAAGGCATTTAGACATCAGAATATCAACAATAAGCTCCCAAGTGAAAGTCAAGAGAACCATTTCCTTGGATTTTTCTCATTGATTATCCATTCTGAATGCAGGTTTGTGCTAAAGATCAAGATGAAGTAGCTTCATTTCCTCAACCACTCCTAGTTTGCTCATTAGATGCAGAAGTCTAGCCATTTTTAAAGAGCGCACTAGTGTGACTTGATCAAAATTCTGTACAATTAAATGTCCTAACCACTATCACCAATCTTCCATGTTGGGGAGAAATTTTTGAAGGGCATTTATTAAATGATATAACATCAGAGCTGTGAGGGTCATCAGAGATCATCATCATTCCTTTATTTTATATATATAAGGAATCTGGATGCTGAGAGAGCTGACTTGCCCAAGGTCACACAGCTAGTGGCAAGAACTCAGATATTAGAATTATACAATTTTATAGCTAAAAGTGACCTTAGACATTTTTTCAATGTCTTTCTCTACCAGCCTTCCTTCCATTTTACAGATGAGGAAACTGAGGTCCTGAGAAATGAAGGCATTTTCTCAAAGACGCAGAATTAGTGAGTGGCAGAGTCATACTTCCTAACTCCCAGTCTGGTGCTCTTTCCATATCACCATCCAGCCTCTGGGGAAGCTTTGAGTTATAAGGGTTAAACATACTTTACTGCTATTAAATATAGATGTTTGGTCTTGGCAGAGGTATAGAAAAGGTAGTCACCAGCTGCATCTACAAGTTTGGCAGCAGGAATTCAGTTTCCATTTTGCCTTAGCTCTTGTCACCTGCCTGGCAGAGGTAGTATTAGTAGTTGGGTAGTGAGAGGAATTTTTCCTTGCCTGTGCCAATTTGCAGGGGCAGAACAAACAGGGAGATAGCATTGGGGGAGGAGATCAGCTAGATCAGCTGGGGCAAATTATAAATTGTAGGCATATACTGGTACCCTCCTTTCCATGGCAGGTCGTGATGGAGAATAATAGAGCCAAGAGCTGTATGCCAGCCCCCTCTGAATCCTGATTTGTGGTAGCAGCATTGCTGTGGCCATGGACAGCATGCCATGTTTTAGCTTTGCATTCAAGAAAAATTGCTTTGAACTTGGGCAGCAGGTCTACCCACAGAAACCTACTTTTGAACTCAGTTGATTGGCCTCAGAAAGAAACAATGAACACATTTTTTCTCCTTCTAAATTTTCCTAGGGATAATGTATGTTTAACTTTGAGACTAAAAGACTTGGGTGTGTACTTAGGAGTTAGTGGAGGGAAGCAGGATAGCTGTCTTCAAGTGTTTGAAGGTCTGTCAGGTGGAAGAGGGATTAACTTTGTTCTGCTTCGCCCCAGATGGCAGAACCAGCAGCAAGAGGTCGTAATTCTACAGAGAGAGATTTTAGCTTGGCAAAAGGAAAAAAAAAAACAACCAAATCTCTTTAACAGTTAGACCTGGCTCAAAGTGGAAGGGGCTGCCTCAGGACGTGGTGTATCCCCATCACTGAGGCTCTACAAGTGGATCCTAGGTGACCTAGATATGAAGGAAATTTCTTGTTCAGGAGTGGATCCCTGTCAACTCTGAGCCTCGGTGACTCTGCTATTCTGTGATTCTGACAGGTCTCTTGTTATGTTTTAACAGCATTTATCGGCTGGACTACAACTACGACTTCAAGCAATTCAGAACAATGTGAACCACCACAGCCTGAGGATGCTGCAGGGCTCTGGACAGACAAGCACGAGCTCATCCGCACTCCGGAAGTGGCTCCAGTGCACGCAGTTCAAAATGGCCCAGGTGGAGATCCAGTCCTCTGAAGCTGCCTCCCAGTTCTACCCTCTATGAACAGGGTGTGTCGCTTCTAGCGTGAACGCTCTGGTTCAGCAATAACGGGGTTCCAGACAAATACTAGGATCCACGCAGGTTTGAGAAGGCATTGGGAACAGTGTTCCCCCTCCGTAGTTTAGGTACAGACATGCGGAGCCTGCCAATGGCCGTGTCGAAGCCTTCCTGCTTCACCTGTTTCTGACGTCTCCTTGGGCTAGCCGATTAAGTGTTTCCTTACATTCTTTTTTAAGAACCAAATCATTTCTCTTTAACTGACTTCTATTTTTTTTAAGAAGAAAAAAAAATAGACTGGTGGGCACTCACAGAAAAGTTGTATAAGTCCCCCTGTTGCTATTTTTGATGACAGAGAATAAATAGGGTTTTTGAAGCCTTTTAGTGTTTTTTCTTAAAACCGACTCTTGGCAATGCAATAAAACTCCTCACCGTGCGCCGGTGACACCCTACGGAGGCTTGGGGTCATGATCGTGGGAAAAAGCTGCAGCTTGCAAGGAGCATTACAAAGTGCACTTAGAAATTAGGGGGTTTAACTGTGCCAATTCTTCCTCCCTTTCTTTTTTTCTTTCTTTCCCTTTTTATAATATCATTTTCCAAAACTGTCCAGTATGGTGGCTTATTTTTAAAACAATTGCAACAAACAACAAAAACTAGGTTTTTTGACTCCTTAGTTTGAGGCTGTACTTTCTTCTTGTAAGCTTTAGGATAACCCCTTTAGTTTTATGAATAAGAAATTTTATTCTTTTCGTAATACTTGTATACAATTCCATTGGGATAAAAAACAAATTGTAGATTGCATACCAACCTGATGGAATCCCAGCACCGGGCACGTAACACTGCATATGGAATCACATTCCTAAAGCCGAATTTTAATAGTGCAAGAGCACCGAGATGTGTTGGCATTTAGGATTAGCATTTGACTGTGCATTCACAAATGGTACTTCTCTTCTTTTACTCCTGTAATGCACTGACAAAAAGAAGAATTAATACACGTTTAAGCTGTATATTAACATGCTATTAAATGCATATTCTTTATTATCTTTGACAGCCTGAGGGTTTTCTTTTTAAAAACTAGTTTATAGGTCAAAAGGGATGAATGTTTCTTGGGGAAGCCATAGAAGGGATTCCTGCTTCAAGCAGTGTTTGGACTATATACCCTCTGAGGTCAAGAAATCCAACAAATTTTAATTATGAGAAGGTTCCAAGAAAAAAAAAATAAGATGGAGCATAGGCCAGGGAAGAGACCAGTGGTGGGAACAAATATTGAGGTGAAAATAGGGAAGCTATTACAATGTTCCATGTCAGTGATGAGAAAGACCTTAATGACAATATTGGCTATGTGAATAGAGAGAAATGGGTTTGAGAGATTTCTCTGCCTGCCCTCATGTTGGACTCGGAGTCCGAGGACCTATGTTCCAATCTGTTCTGTCACTCGCTGTCTTCGTAACCTTGAACAAATCACTTAAAATCTCTGAACCTCTGTTTCTTCCTCTAGAATGAGAGGTTTAGATTGAATGATTTCTAAGGTTCCTGCTATATCTAGTCTATAATTCTGTGATTATCTATGATAATTCTATGAAGGGGCTTGACTATGGGGGTAGGGGAAATCAAGGTGATGGAAAAGTCAAAGATGATTCTGAGGTTATGATCCTGTTGAACTGAGAGAACAGTGGCACCAGAGGAAGGGTAGGTAGTGTATTTAGTTATGCTTTTATTTAGTTTGAGGTGCTAATTATATCTAAGTGAATGTGACCAGCAAGTAGCTAAAGATGTGAGATTAGAGTTCAAAACTGAAGTTAGGACTAGATATGTAGATTTGGGAGTCATTTATAAGAAATGATCTTTGAACCCATGAGGATGGATGAAATCAATCACTTAGAGAGAAGAGAACCCACTACAGACACTTGGAGGACATCTAAGGATAGGGATAGGTTGGTACATCCTTTTCAATTCTGAGGTTCTATGTAAGCTCCTCGAGGGCAAATATTATTATTATTAGTAGTAGTAGTATCCCCTAGGTACTTAACTTTTTTAACGGGATAGAATTGAACTGATTCTTTTGAATGGCCTGGATCCTGATGAGAATTCCTGAATTACACATTTTTCAAATTTCCTAGAGCACTTTGCCTGTACCACAAAATCTCAGAACTATGAGGCTAACTCAGAGAACATCTAGTCCAGCCTTACCTGAACAGCAATCTCTTCTACCATATCACAAGTGATCAGGCATTCAGTTCCTATAAGGACGCCACTACCTCTGGAGGCAGCCCATTCCATTCTGGTATAGCTTTTATTGTTAGGAAGTTTTTCCTTTGCCCTTATCAAATTCTACATTTTACCATGCATGTTTCCATGCCATCATTCTCCATGAGACTGAGGTCACAGATCATAGATCAAAAGCTGGAAGAGACTTTAGAGAGCCATTTAGTTTATGCCCCTCACTTTACAGATGAGAAGAAGTTAACCTTCTTGCCCGAAGTCACACAGGGAATAAGTGACAGGAACAGGATTTGAAGCCAGTTCAAACTCTGATTCCAAGTCCAGTCCTAGTATGTGAGGGCAAGGAATAGGTAACTTTTCATTTTTGAATTCCCAGTGCCTAGCATAGTACACATTAAGTAATTATATTAATAATTAATAGATATTTGCTGAATTAAATTGAATTTCGAACTTTCTAACCGCCATTAAAACCAAATTGCTCTTGACTAGGGGCAAATGATCTTTGATCATTTTGTTGGAAAAAGCAGAATGAATTTGGAGAATATCCTCCAAGCAGGACTCCCCACAACCCATAGGGCCTGAGATAATTCATTGCTATGTTGATTATTTAAGAGGTTCCACTTTTCTTCTAGGGGGTCAAATGTTTTAATATTTTCTAGAGATGAGTAATACCTCAAGTGCTGAGAATGTTCACTGAAGTCTGAACAATTAAAGCTCTCCAAAAATAGAATGAGCTGCCTGGAGGTGGTGGGAAGAGGGAGGGATTTTGTCTTCTTCACCCCTAGAGGTCTGCAAGCAGCAATCAAAAGGTCACTTTGGGGGAATGTTGTATGGGAAATTTTTGCAATTGGTAGAGGAATTGGTCTAGCCTTGTGATTTGGGCTAAATATTACCTTCAGGTCTTTGAACATAATTCTTCAACTGTAAAGCGGAAATATTAATACGAGCCCTACCTACCTCACAGGGTTGTTGTGAGGACTAAATGATGTAGTAGAGAAATTCTTGGTCAGGTACTGTATAACTTGAACCAGATCAAGGATTCTTAACTTGGGATCCTTGAACCCGGTGTGTGTTTTTTAAAACTATTTTGATAATTGTATTTCAATATAATTGGTTTCCTTTGTAATCCTATATATTTTATTTTTTACATTTAAAGACACTATTCTGAGGAATCCATAGGTGTCAGACAACTGCCAAAGGGAATCCATGACACAAAAAAGATTAAGAACCTCTGGACTAGATTGTGAAGTCCGTTCTCACTCAGATTCTGTGATTTTATGATGACCTCATAAGTCCCTTTCAGCTTCAAAGTTTTGATTCTAAAGAAAGATGAAGAGGTAGACATGTCCTGCTATAAAGTTTCCTGAGATCCATATTGTGTCTCTAGAGTAGAACAGTTATTCATCATTCTTACTGTGCTATCTGATATACCTCAAACTTGGAAAGAAGAAATCTGACTGATCAATTAAGCAACAGGTATTTCCTGAGCTCCTACTAGGTGTCCACTACTATCCCAAATGATGGGCACAACCCCAGTAAGGTTTGAAGTCAAAAACTCTGTGTTCAAATCCCAGCTCTAACAGTCTATGAACCTATAATGTTTGATTAGGCAGGATTGATCTTTCATACTGTTATAGGATTTTGAGCTGGAAGAAACCTTATTGATCTAGTCCAACCTTCATTTGGAAGAAGAAAAAATGGTCCAGAGAGGTCAAATGATTTGTACAGTCACAAGGACCAACAGCCTGCATTTGAACCCAGGTGATCTGACTCCAGGTCAAGTGCTCTCTGCCTGTTGCAGCAAGCTTAAGGAAGCTGATTGATTCTGTTTTCTCCTAAGCATGAGTCCAGGAAGGGAGAAGAAGAAGTTTTTCTGTTAAATATTAGAATTAGAAGGGACTCCATTAAGGATCACCTAATCTAAACTCCTCATTTTTAAAACTGAGAGTCAGAGAGGAAAACAATTTTTCTGGGGTTTTACAGTGAATGAAGAAGTGGCAGAAATAAGATTCAGACCCAATGCTTGTCTTTCTAAGCCTAGGGTTCTTTCCACTGTTCCAGAGCTAGACATTAGGACCCTCCTGGAACCCTCACGTTGATCTTGTCCCAGATATGGCAGCTCCAAACCATCCTCGCACAGAGTGTAAGTCCCATCAGTCTACCAGACCTGCCTTGTATGTATTTAGACAGCCAAGTGGTAGAATGCAAATGGTATATATGGTGTCACACTCAGAAACTGGGGCCACCAAACCATGCATAAAGATCTGCAGGGGAAGCCTATTGACTTAGAAAACTGCAAATTAATATTATCTGTTTTCTATTGTATTTTTTCTTTATTTTGTTAAACATCTCCTAAAGTTTAATGGCTCTGTTCTCCCAGGTGTTTGACACCTCTGGTGTAGTGGAAAGAGCCTGAACTTGGAGCCAGGAAGACCTTTGCTGCAATTCTGCTTCATACACTTATCAATGAGTCACCAAATCAAATAATTTATTCTCTCTGAGTTTGTTTCCTCATCACTAAAATTGGGGCAATAATATCCACCTCACAGGCTTGTTGTGAAGATCAAATTAGATAGCTTAGGTCACACCAAGTCAACACGTGTTTATTAAGCATTCACTATGCTCCAGGCACTGTGCTATGTGGCCCCTGGCAAATCTTGAAACATATGAATGCTGGCTATTATAATTTATAACCTTTCTAACCATGCTGTTTGTATCTATGATCATACTGGCTCATGTTTATAGAGCACTTTGTCATCGAAGAAGCAGTATGGTGTTATAGCTCTAATACTGAATCTGGAGTTTGGCAAACCTGGGTTCAAATCTTGCCTCTGACACTAGTTATATGGCTATGGACAAGTCATGTAATCTCTCTGAGTTTAAGTATCCTTCTCTCTCAAGTGAAATAATAATATTTGTGCACCCTACCTCATAGGGAAGTAGTAAAACTCAGATAAGAGAATTTATGGAGATTGCTTTGTAAATGTTAAA